TCCCCGGGGTGACCGGCTCAGGGAACCTGCCTCCCTGAGTCCCTCCCGCCCCAGGCTCTCCTCAGCCTCCCTGTTACTGCATGGTGAGGTATGGCTGGCCCAGCCCTCCCAGTAAAATGGACGCTCCTGGGGACAGGGGTGTGTAACTTGTCTGCCCTTGAGGCTTCCCCAGTGCCTAGCATGGGGCCAGGGCACTGACGGTGCTCCTTGTGGAGCAGATGATTGTGTGGTGCCAGTGGAGGAGGGCAGGAGACAGCTGATCGTGACCTCAGGCAGCATGAGCATCTGGCAGGGGTGGCGTGGTGTTCCGCAGGACCCGGTCTGGGAAATGCTGCGGAATGGTGAGCTCCACAGGGTATGTGCATAAGGATGCGTTGCTCTTCCCCTTTGTGCACTTCCTGGCATCCCCGTGGGCTTCATTCTGCCCACCTATGTTCCTCTGCCCTTGAGAACTGGCCTCCGTCCCTCCCTCTCCCCTGGTCAGGCCTCTGGCTTTGGGGCTGGGGGGTGGCTGGGGAGCACCATTACCTTTTTCAGATGCAGCCTCCAAGCCACCTGCTCCATGGGAGGGAGGCTCACATCCCGCACGGGGTCTGGGAGCAGGAGGGTGGTAACTGGGTGCACACTCGGGCTCGCGTTCTGCTTCCAGCTCTAGGTGTGGTTACCCGGTGGTACTCCGAGTACGAAAACCCACCGAGCTGTGCACTTAGGATTTATGTGCTTTTTTGGGTGCATGTGATCCTTCGATAAAAAGTTGTCCCGTTATTGGATGAGAGCAAGCAAAGAGCTTGGCTCGGATGGTGTGTCAGCGGCCCTCAGGCAGGTGGACCTCACCAGGCCAGCCACCTGAGTGGGGCTTGGGAGGCTCAGGGCTTACCGGGTGAAGGAGGGTGTGTGAGGGAGAGCGTGCGGGAAGGGGATGGCGACAGGGCGCAGAGGGGGTGCAGATTTGGGCTAAGCCAGGGCCGCGACAGGAACCCCAGTGCATTCTGGGAGAGAAGTGCAGGAAGGCAGGCAGCTTCCCAGGGGCCCTGGAAGGCTGCACGTGGTGCATGGGGCAGGGTAGCGGCTGCAGGAAGGGAGAGCTGTCGATGGCCGGGCCCTGGAGGAGGGGGAACTGAGGGCTCCTCAAAGACACATAAGAGGTCACGGAGCCTGAGGTCGGAGGGAGAGACTGTGCACAGCCTGGCCTTACCCCTGCCTCTTCCTCCGGGGTCTCTCTGCCCTGTCTTGCTCTTTCCCCATCACGTCGCTGCACTTGTTTCTTCCCTGCTCCCTGGCGCATCACCGCCTCTCTGTCTTCCGTTGTTCTGCTTGTCCGCAAACACCACCCCAAAAGTTAGTGGCTTTCAACAGTCGTGTATTATTGTCACGCCTCAGGTGCAGGCGATCTGCGGGACGGCTCCCCTGGGCGCCACCTGGGCTGGGCCTGCACGGCCTGCGTCTCACGCTGCAGGGCTCTCGTGGGAACGTGGCTCCCGGACCCCAGGTCAGACCTTCCACCGAGTTGCTTCCGCCATGTTTTGTTGGTGGAAGAAGTTACAGACCAGATTCCGGGGGTGGGGCAGACTCCAGTATCAGTGTGGCCACACCTTGGGACATGGCTGGGGCCGTGTGCTCCCTCCCTGGAGCAGCTTCGTCCTCCGTGGAATGGGGGTGGGAGAGGGGCTTGGCCTAGAGCAGCCCTTCCCAGAGGGAAGCCCAGATCATGGGATGGAAACAGACGCTGAATGTAAAAGGGCGTTCCATGGCCAAACAAGTGTGGGTTCCACCAGGCTGAGCAAACAGGTGTCTGTGCTGCGCAGAGGGGGCGGGGGGCGGGGGTAAACGCCCAAGTGCGCTGGCTTCTCGCACGAGGAGCAGGAGCAGAGCCCGGAGCAGGGCAGGCCTGGGCGCGCTCTGTGGCTTTGTGTGTGGTCCCTGGGGGTCCAGCCCCGGCTCACAGCCCCACTGCCCCCCCACCCCCCGGCTGCCCAGTGGACGTGTGAAGTGGGCGGGGGACGCCATCTCAGCTCACCCATGCATCTCGGGCTTGGCGTTTGGAGGTGACTCAGGGTTTTACGTGCCACTCGTATTTATGTTGGTGACCATTGTCTGAGGTTGTGCCCAGTGACATCTCAGCCACCTGGCCTGCTGCAGGGACTGGTTTGGTCCGCACAGTCACTAAAAGCTTGTAGAGTAAGTTGCGCAAACCAGGCCACCCCCCCCCACCCCCCCCCCCACTGAGCCTCACATGCTGGCCCCTCGCCCCTCAGCGTCAGTGTGACCTTCAGGCACTTCCTTGCCTGGCCGTCCCTGTCACAGGGCCACCTCCCCCGTCACAGTCCTCCTTTTTTTTTCTTAAGAGGGAAAGTTAAAAAAAATTTTTTTTTTTAATTTTTCTTTATTTGAGAGAGAGAGAGAGAGAGAGAACGTAAGCAGGGGAGGGGCAGAGAGGCAGAGACACAGAATCCAAAACAGGCTCCAGGCTCTCCTGACCCAGGGCTCAAACTCACGAACCACAAGATCATAACCTGAGCCGAAGTCACACACTTAACCTACTGAGTCACCCAGGCACCCCTGCGCCTTTTACTTCTTGACAGCACCTGTCCTTGCCTGAAACTAGCCTTCAGAGCCTTCTGCTTCCTGCCCCATCCCTTCCCTGCACAGCCAGCCTCGTCGGCCCTGCTCCCCGCCATCCCCCGGCCCAGTGTGTGCAGGCCTGACCAGCTGAGCCAGGCTTCCCTCGCGTGCGGCCGAGGAGGGGGCCCTTTGCTAATAGGACTCGTACGACTAACGCCTGTTCTCTCCTGAGTGCTCCAGATGGACAGATGGCCCTGCTGCAGGGCTGAGCACGTGGGCCGCTCGTGCCCCTGGGAGCTCTGCGTAGGAGAGGACGTGGAGCCGCCGGGGTTGGGCCCGGGTGGGGGGAGGGGGCAGGCTCCCGGTCTGGAAGCGTGCCCACAGCAGCTGCGGGCGTCCCCAGTTCTGCAGGCACTGGCCGGCCTCCCGAGGCCCACGCAGCGGGCCGGGCAGGTGCGGGGGCTCCCGGGGGCAGGTGGCGACGGGAGCTAGGAAGCCCGTTCCAGAGAGCGGCCGCCGTGCCCCCTCTTTGCCGTCCTCTGTGTCCCCTGGCCTCCCAGGAGCTGAGCCGCTGGGAACCTGGTGTCCCTGCCTCTTCAGAGAGTGTTTCATCCGTTCCTTAACCCAGGAAGCTCCTGCCCAGAGCTGCCGGGGCTGAGAGGTGCGGCAGGGTGGGGAGTAATGGCGGAGGCCCAGAGCCCCCTGACCACCTCAACAGGGCAGGGGCCGCCAGGCGAGCCCCCTCTGCCCACGAGCCCTGAGGGTGTGTGCCGGCCGGACTGGAAGGTATGTGATGTCAGCGGGGCAACAGGAAGCCCACCGTGGGGAGGAGGCTTGGGTGTGAGGCTACTGGGGTGATGGTGTCCCCACGGCCGGCGGGGGAAACACAGAGCAGAAGGGGCTGTGAGTGTCCCCTGGGCCACTGATTTGGGTCCACTCGAGGCTGACCAGGGAGAGAGCAGGGGCCCCCGAGAGGTCCAGGAAAACAGGCAGTGTCGGGTCGGCAGGGGACGGCAGACCCTAGGGTTTGGTCCTCACCAGTGACCGGAGGCTGGACCCTACAGACAGCTGTGTCCTCTCGGGCAGAGAGGCGCCTGGTTGAGGGGTGGGCGGCCCTGGGACGAACCAGAGCAGGTCAGTGGGTGGCAAACAGGACGCTGAAGGGGCTTACTCGTGTCCGTGAAAAGTGGACAGGGGACCAGGTGACGTGGCGTGTGGACACAGGGTGACCGATGGGCAGGGCACTTGGGGACGAGAGGCCAGCTCGGCAGGAGAGCAGGGGACATCACTGCCCGAGGGGACGCCCCAGAGGACAGCTGGCACCGAGAGGAGCCCTCCTGTTGGGTGTCAGGACCCAGGACTGCGCCTGGGCCGGGCCCGGTGGGTGGTTCTGGTTGGGCCCTTAACAAGCGCGGGGCTCACAGACGAGACGGCAGGAATTAAACGATGGCCTTGTTCTCAGCTGACACGGCCATGAGGCCACCGAGGGCCGGGACTGTGCCGGCTCTCCACCCCAGTGTCTAGTGTGACCGTACGAGGGCCTGACGAGAAAGGTCTCATCTTCCCACGTCAGGGGGGCAGGAGCGAGGGGGGCGGAGTCACTGGCCGTGCCCGCCGGTCCTCCTCTCCCGCGGCGCCCAGCAGCTGTGTCGCCGTCAGCCTCGCCCTCGTCCTGTCCCGTCTGCACGAAAAGCAGAGCGGAAGCGAGGGCTCAGATGTGTGGGGAGACCCCCACCTCGCCCCTCCCCGGGCCACCCACCCCCTTGATGGGGCTCCTGGGGCCTCCTCCCCACACACCTCTGTCATGCCCACGACAGCAATAGCGTATTTTGGTGTTCTCGTTTCTCTAATTTTTTGAATTAAACTTTTTACCTTGAAAACACTTCAGGCCAACAGAAGCCCGGCAGGCATATACATTTCCATAGAGTCCCGCGGGCCCTTCGTCCACACTCGGCACCGTCAGCACTTCGCCCCTGAGCACGGAGCTGTGCGCTTGCCGAGCGCGCCTGCTTGGAGGAGCCTCACAGGCGCGGACCCTGCGCACGTGTTTCCACAGAGCCGGCCTTCCCTTCCCTGCGTCACCTGCTGTCGGGTGTGCACGGGGGCGACACTGCTCCTCTGTTGCCACCGTCCCAGCCCAGGTCCCCGGGAGCGCTGCCTGCGTCCCTTCCTTCTGTCCCCGGCCCAGCTCTGCCGCTGTCTGGGGACCGGCAGTGCTGACGAGCTGGGGCTCCGGTTTGGTGGGCGGTCCGTCCGCACGGGTTCCCCTGACGCGGCGGGGCCGGCGTCTGTCCCCGCGAGGCCGCGCTCGGAGGGCAGGATGGGGTCTGCTCCGCTCCCCGCTGTGCCTCCCGCCCCGTGTCAGGCTCTGATCCTGTCCGGCTCCATAAACACGCCCGCCAGCTCCTTCCCTGAGGAAAGTCCCTTCCTGCCTGCAGCCCGCCGGGGTCACGTTGGTCAGCGTGTACGCCAGCCCCAACGACCAGATGCTCTGGGCGCTCGACAGCAGGTGGAACGTGCACGTCCGGGCCGGGATCACCGAAGAGATGCCGGTGGGGACCGACTGGGAGCACGTGCCAGGTAGAGACGGGCCCGGTTGTCCTGGCTGACCCCCCCCCCACGACGGGCCCCTGGCCTGTCCAGCAGCCTGTCCTCCACGCAGCAGCCACGGCTCTGTCTCCACTCTGCTGCTGAGGCAAGTGACCAGCAAGCCGCTGACGGAACATCCCTCGTGTGAGGGACCCGGCAGCGCAGAACTCCAGCCAGCCCCTCACCACCGAGTTCTGGGCAGGATGACCGTTTCCAGACGGCCCGGACGCTTCCGTCCTGCGGCCCCGGGCTCTCGGCAGGTGCAGGGCGCGGTCACCGTAGGGCCACCCTGGTCGCCGGGGCCCGGTGGTGGGAGGGAGCAGACTTGGGGGGGGAGTCCCGTCCTGTTGCCCCAGGGCTGAGGACTGACAGACGCCCTGTTTGTCTGCAGGGCTGCAGGCCTGCCAGCTGGCCCTGAGCGCCAGGACCGTGTGGGCCCGCTGCCCCAACGGTGACCTCGCCCGGCGCTACGGCGTCACCGACAAGAACCCTGCCGGAGACTACTGGAAGAAGATTCCCGGGAACGTGACGTGTTTCACAGGCAGGTGCCAGGGCTCCGCGGGGCTGGGGGCTCCCGGGGACGGTGTCGGCGGGGGCTCCGCGACGGGCCGCCACAGCTGAGGGAGGGCGCCCAGCAGCTGGCTGGCCAGGGTCTCCCAGGAGGGCGGCGACGCAGAGCGGCCCCAACTTGGCACGTGCCCCCCCCCGCCCCCGCCTGCCTGGGCCGGGTGATTACCGAGCGTGTGGCTGCCTCTCGTCCCTGCAGTGACCTCGTCGGACGAGCTGTGGGCAGTGGGCCCCCCCGGCTACCTCCTCCAGCGGCTGACCAGGACTTTCAGCCACTCGCACGGTGCCCACGGCGGCCACGCCACCGGCGCGCCCCGCGAGGACCTGGAGGACGAGTGGGAGGTCATCTGACGGAGCGGCGGCCGGGCGGGGCGGCCCCCACGTGCTCTCTGCTGTGCTCATTTCCGTGTCGTTCCAGAACCCGCGGCCTCAGCCCAGGGACCCCGAGCTGTTGCTCCGTCCCCCTCCGGCCGCTCCAGGCCCGCTATGGGGACGGCCACGTGCGTAACCGCTGGCGAAACGGAGCCAGAGGTCAGCACGCTCCCGCCTCTGGGGGTGGCCCTGCGACCGCTTCATTGTCCTCCCGGGGACGCGAGCTCTGGCACACGTTCCTTGCCGGACGTCCCGCTTGGGGAAGCGGGGCCGTGTGTGAGGGGCGGGTGCTGGGCTGTGCCAGGATGCGGTGCACACGCACACACACACGCACAACATGCACGCGCACGCCGCCCACACCCTCCCGACCGCCCCCCGGAAACACTTCAGCCCAAACGGTAAAGGCCAGTGGATGAGACGGAACACAGAGGTGCCCGTGTTTCCGGGGCAGCGGAGGCCGGGGAGGCGCGGCCGGACGTGGGGGAGCCCGGCCTCGCTAGAAACTGCGAAGCGTGACTAGACGAGCATCTAGCCAGCGCCGCCGGCGGTCCCGTGACGGCCAGAAGCGCCCCCGCAGGACGAGTCTACTAATTACCGCCTGTTTTGTTCGCTGTTACACACCTGTGTAAGATACCTCAACTTGAAATCAACTCTGACAAATTTACAGGAGAAACGTATTTTCTGGAACCCCCCGGAAGGGTCTTCCGTTCCTTCGCGTGGTTCCCCCGAGCCTGCACTGTCCCCAGCTGCAGCGTCAGAGGGCGGGCGGCGGGTTGATGCCCCCGGGAGGTTCGAGCTGGGGCCGCGCCGGGCGTCAGTCCGTGGGCTCAGGCCGCAGTGCCCACTCTCCTCGCTGGCACCTGGGCCACGGGGCTTGGTGGCCTGGCCATGCGCCCGCCCTGGGCACCCCCCCTCCCCTGCCAGGCCGCGGAGCGAGCCGCCAGCCTCGCTGCCATGTGTACCTTGCCTTTGGCCGCGGACCCAGTTACTCGATGCTTGTTTTCTACTAAGCAAATGTGCCCCGGGGGTCCCGGGCCACAGATGAAGAGCGACAGGAGCGGGCCGCCGCGAGGGCGAGGTGTTCCAGGCCTAAGTGGGGACAAGACGCTGAGGTCCCAGACCCCCCCTCACACTTCACTTTTACAGAATCCTTACTTTAAAAGTCTGGGGACGGCAGAGGCCGGCCCGGCTGGCTGCGGCCCCTCCGTGCACGTCGTGCCTTGTCCGGCTCCTCGCAGACGGCAGAGCTCTCGGAAGCCCGCGGGACTTTAGTGCAATTAAACCCATGTCTGGTTTGATACTTTGAAACTACTTTTAGCTTCAGTGCTTTGTACGGTTTTTCGTTCCAGTTTTAATTTTTAGTTGTGCTTTGAGACAGTGCAATAAACTAGATTTTTTTCCAAATTGATCGAGTCCAGTGTGTGAGCTGTGAGAGGGGACCCTCCGGCAGCAGCGCGCCCACCTGTGCTGGAAGAGTCTGCCGGTGGGGGTCGCCGAGCCCCCGGCCAGCAAAGCATGGCCCATGCGATGCAGGGGCCTGCTTGGCATTGAAATACGCACCAGGTTCCCCGGGGTGGCCTTCCTGAGGGAGCGGTCGCTCCAGGGGTGGGCGTACCCCCGGCAGCCCCCCAGGAAGGACCCCGTGGGGCAAGGTGAGCGCAGAGCCATCTCCACGAGGCCCACTGAGGCCAGGCTGCTGTGGGCTGGCTTTGGAGGGGCGCGGGCCCCTGGGTCCAAGTCCCCATCAGGAAACAAAGCCAGAGAGCACCTAGCAGCGGTGCTCTACAGGGAGCTGGCACACGGGAGAGGTCACATCCGTCACAGCAACAGGACTCGTCGCGTGCCAGGACAGGCCTGAACAGGAAGCATCCGACTGCGGTCAGGGAATGTTACGCTTGGCAGAAGAGGTCAAGCAGAGCTTGAACTAAGGAAGACACGCGACATCCCCGACGGAAGACTAACTGTGTGCAGACGCAGGAGTCCTGTCTAAAGGAACTTGTGGGGTTAAGTCAGGCTGTCAGAACCCTCACTGGAATGTTCTGCCGGAGGGAGGCAGGGAAGAAGTCCCAGAAGTTTGTGCCCACGTGTTCCCGACTGCCAGACACGTGCCCAGGGCCCCTGCGCTGCTTCACGTCCCACCGGAGCCCCCAGAGGAGATGCCGTCTCAGGGACACCGAGCCCAGTGACTTGCTGGAGGTCACACACAGGCCACTGCAACCACTGCTGCATGATGCCACCTCGGCATCCGGGGACGAAACAGGTGGGAGCTGCCCAGAGGGATGGCAGCAGCAGCAGGTCCAAGCGTGGCGTGGGAGGGCGGGCCACGGGGAGTCGGCACAGTGGAGGCGCGGCGTAGAGGAGGGGCCAGGCGGGTGCAGTCACCGCCGATGCGGACCAGAGCGTTATGTGGACAAAACAGCCATTAACTGGATTAAAGAATCTGAAAACTAGGGGGGAAACAGTATCCGGTTTCTGGACGGCAAAGGCTTCCTAGACTCCAAAGTGATGGGGAGAACTGCGGAGGAACAGTATATAGATTTGATTTCCTCAATGTTAAAATGTTGTAAACTTCAAACCCCACAGAAGATTAAAAGGGGAAATGGCGGCATCACAGATGATGCCGATGTACGTTAAACACTGTACACGCCAGTCGGAGGACCGGAGGCTCTCGCACGGACCCAGATGAAAGGGTGTCACTCAGCTCAAGTGGGGCCATCTTAAAACTTGTGAACCCACAAACTCCCCTCCTGGAAATGTCCTCAAGACCAGATCCTAAATTGCGGGGAAGCATATAGCGCAGGCCGTTCTACATCGTGACATGCGAACAGTCCTTCCGACACGCTCTCCTGTGTGGCTGTTAGAGGCTGTCCCGGAGGACGTGGGCCGGGACTTGACCGTACAGATGTCACAGGTCCTGCGTGTGTGATGACGTGTTGCAGATATACCGGGAGAGGAGAGAATATAACGCACATGTATCCATACGCGTCTAACTCTGGGTGGGTGTGAAAGTGTTCACACTCCCGGGGGCACCGGAGGGTCAGAAAGGAACCAGTTCACCACACAGCCGGCTGTAGCGGTCCCCTGGAGTATATGCCATTTTGTATCTACTGAATTTCAAGCCATGTAAATGTATTATTTATTTCAGAATAAATAAAATACACATTTTAAAAAGTGCTAACGTAAACTCCTTATGCTGTCAACACTAGCTGAACCAAATGTCACAAAGTGAACACCAAAGGCTCCTGAGAAGTCATTTTACAATGTAGGAAAATGCTTAGACTCCAGTAAGTTTAAATACTTAATTCTTTAAGTGATCCGATGTCAAGTATGTAAAAAATATGCATAGGAAAAACATATTTATATGCGTGCATAGAAAAACCTGGAAGAAAATACACCAAAATGCTCGCGCTGGCTGGCGGGCGGGCGGGCTGGCTGCCGGCAGGTAGCCGCCGCCCTGCACTTGGCTGCCACCCTGCAGAGGGCGAGCCGGACGTTTCCCCGAGGAAACCCTGCCAGGCCCTGCCCTGGATTTCTCTGTGGTCCCGGTGCTCCGCCTCCAGCTCGAACTCTATGTGCAGACATTCTTTTTAAAAAATCTCTGAAGACAAATCTCTGTCTTCACCTCTACCTTGATCAGGGTAGGTGGTTACGTGTGTAGACGTCAGAACTCCTCGGACTATACACTTCAAGTCTGCATCTCGGGGCACCTGGCAGCTCAGCGGGAAGAGCATGAGACGCTCCACCTTGAAGTCATGAGTTCAATCCCTACACTGGGCGTAGAGCCTAGTTAAAAATGAAAGGGGGGGGCTCTCTTCATCTTGAAAAATAACCAAAAACTAAACTGTGCCTTTATCATATGTCAGTCATGCCTCCATTTAAAAATGTCGCAGGACAAGGAGCGCCTGGGCAGCTGTCGGTTAAGTGTCCGACCGGCTCAGGCCATGCATGATCTCGCAGTTCATGAGTTCGAGCTCCACGTTAGGCTCCTCACTGACAGTGTGAAGCCTGCTTGGGGTTCTCTCTCCCTCTCGCTCGCTCAAAATAAATAACTTTAAAAAAAATAAAGGGAAACACTTTCCTTTAAAAAAAAAGATAGCAGGACAGGACCGCAGTGGGGCCAGAGCAAGAACAGGTGCAGCCACCACGTGGCCTCCCTGGCCAGGCCAGTGTCCTTCCTTCCCCGCTCCCCAGAAGCACCCCTGTTCTGAACAGGACTGGCGGGAGTTCAGGACCCCCCCCCAACCCCAGTACAGTAGCTGAAGGTTGGTGCCGCAGGGGAAGGAAGGGAAACCGGAGTAATCCGCATTGAGGTAAATCCAGGGTGGAGTCCGCATGTGGCGAAGCCCTTACTGCCCTCAGACACCTGCCCCCGGCCACCCCGACAGCAGGGCGGTCCCAGGGTGTGCCTTTCGGGTTCATGGCCCGGCCTCCTCTGTCCTCCCCGGCAGGCACCTGGGGTAAAGGTTCTGGCCCCTGAGCTCCACCTGATTGGGGGTCACTGGGCCGCTGGGTGGGCTGGGGGTGGGGGGCAGTACTGGCTTCCCTTAGAGAGACTGGGATGAGCGAGCAGAACGAACCAGTGTGCTCCACTCCAGGGGAAAGCGGGCCTTGCTCTGATCCTGCCTCGGAGAAGCCATCAAGGCAACCTGCCAACGACCGAGAGCAGAGTCCCTGTCTGCCAAGGGACACCTGGGCTGAGCGTGACTCCGGCCCTCCCTAGTGCCTGGTGCACATCGCCCCGATGTCCGGGCCGCCCTTGCTGGGGCTGGAGGGTCCCAGGGACTGATGAGCCCAACGCTAGGGACTTCCTGCCCAGCCTCCTGCCCTCCCGCTGGCCAGCAACAGCCACCAGATAGCCCCGAGGCGCGGCTTATCACCCCGCACCACCTCTCCGGGGCCTCTGCTCAGTGACGCCAGACGTCCCCAGCGTCTGGGGCAGCCGTGCCAGCAATCAGGCCCCACTCCGCTGCCACAGGGCTGTGGCGCTGGCTGACCTTGGCTCCCTCAGCCCTTCCCTGCAGCTCCGAGCAGTGTGAAGTCCATTACCCTCCCGGACCCCGTCCCACCCACCCACAGTGAGGACATCAGGGGCTAATAATGCCCTGGGACACCCCTCCTCCTGCCATCAGCCCTCCAAGGCTGAGGGGGCCTCCGGCAGGCCCCACAAAGTCACCCAGCAAATGATGGAACGGTGCCCACAGCGGCTGCTCAGTCCCACCAAGAGCTGATTCCTAGTCACCTGCAAACCAAACACCCCACACAGGCCCCAGAGCTTCCCCTGAACGCATGGGCGGTGGGGCCCGTGATGATCCCGTCCCCCACTCTGGACCCAGCCCCGGGCACGCCTCCGGCTGGCCTGACAATGGGTTCCGTGGGGTGCCCCTTCCATGGCAGCTCCCCCAACCTCTGCATCACCCCAGCCCCACCAGGGGCCTCCAAAGAGCAGCTGTAGATGTAGTGTGTAAGGGAAGAGGGGCCCCGGAGGGCAGACCCCACAGAGGACAGAGCTGGGCCTGGGGAGACGGGGAAGGAGAGCTGCAAACCGTTCCCCACCAGGTGCCTGGGCCTTCTAGAAGTTGCTGGGCATCAGGGCACCAAGAATCCCCCCCAATGCCTCCACAGGCCCACCACCCAGAAGCCCCCACGACCTGCTCCTCTGGGTTGCTCTAGTCTCCACCTTCGCGCACCCCCAAAGGCAATGACCTCTGTCCCACAATGGCACCCCTGTTGGGAGGACCTGAGACCACGTAGAGGAGCCCCCCCACACCTGTTCTGAGCTGGGACAGATGTTAGCATCCACTGTCTCCAAGTGTCAACGTTCAAAGCTATGGAACTGACCCCCAGGACACACAGCAGGAAGGGAGGAGCCCTCACTCCCACCTGCAATCCAGGATGGGCCACCGAGCTGTGCACCCCTCCCTCCCCCTCCCCCCGCCATGGGGAGACCTTTATCCTTCTACTCCTGGCAGGACACCGTGGCCTCCAGCCCAAGCCCGCTGGAGGTTGGATTTCATAGGCCAGTGGAATTCCCCGGAGCAGGGCCGCCTGGCGGTGCTCCCTGGCCTCGAGGCCCCTGAGGGCACGGGCCCAGCTTTCCCGCCAGCCCCTTCGGCCTGAAGGATCGCGGCCCAGGCGCATCTGTCAAGCGTGGTCTTCAGAACCTTCCTACAAAAGCCAGCTCCACTGGCCGGGACGAGAGCGCTTGCCCACTGGGACCCACAGCCACGCAGGCACCCGCAGGCACCCCCTAACACCCGCTGGGGCCCACGCCCGGCGTCAGACCGCAGTCAGCCCCGGAGGAAGGCACATCTAACCCCACCCAGAGATGGGGTGGAGCGGGGGTCCCGGGCCTGAGGTGCCAGAGGCTTCCCAGCAGAGGTGAGGAAAGCAGGAGCCGGGGACTAGGTGCCTGCTGCTGTCAGGGAAGACGGACAAGCCCGGTTCTGGCGGGAGGTGTCACAAGGATACCCAAGGACGGGACAGGGGAGAAGCGGGGTCACGGCCTGGGTCTGCTTCCCCCCCCCCCCGCCCCCCCAATGCAAGCACAGCAAGCCTTCCGGTCTCTGACGCACACAGGAGTTTACAAGGCCCTATGCGCCGACCGCACAGGGGACCTCTTTCCCAGAACCTCACAGCATCTGCTGTCTTGGCCCCCAGGCCTTCGCACACGCTGTCCCCAGCTCAGGCACGTCGGTCCGCACCCCCTGCCGCGCTCCTGCTCAGCTCAGCTGTCACTCCCTCCGGGACACCTAGTCCGGGCGGCTCCGCATCAAGATGGGAAGCACCGGGGGCTGGGCAGTGAGCGGAGGGCAGGGCCTGGCTCCAGGGAGTGGCATGACCCCTAGACTCTTGCAAAAAGGGAGGGAGGCGGGGAGCTGGGCTCAGCGCAGCCCAGGACGCCTGCGGCCCGGCCCGCGGCGCACGCAACACACGAAGCAGGATTCTCCGGTACAGAGATCAGTATATGTAAAGTGCTGGGTACAACGCTCTGAAAAATAGTGTTTTCCAAAAATCCAACGCCCGGGAGGGCCCGCAGCCCCGAGGTCTAGCCTTTGCCCGTGAGGTCCAGCGGCTGCAGGAAGGGCGGCAGCGGCAGCTCGTCCAGGGCCTCGGGGAAGCGTCCGGGCGAGATGGCGGCGACCAGCACCTGCATGGCGCGCACGAAGAGCGAGGGCGGCGCCAGGCCCGCCAGCCACTGGAACTTGTCCTCGCCCAGCAGCCGCTGCCAGCGCGGCCGGTCGTCCAGCAGCTCGCGGCGGGCGGGGCCGGCGGCGCCCGCGGGCGTGTACAGCGCCAGCAGGTCGAGCAGCAGCAGGCGGCGCTGGCGCGGCTCCCCGGGCGCGGCGGCGGCGGCGGCGGCGGCGGGCGCCCCGGAGGCGGCGGCGTGGGCGTTGGGCGCCCCGGCGTCGCGGCCCAGCAGGCGCAGCAGCAGCTCGAGCGGCGTGAGGCCGCCGCCGTCGCGCAGGCCGGGCGACGCGCCGTGGCCGAGCAGCAGGAAGAGGCACTCGGGGCGCGCCAGCTCGCAGGCCGCGTGCAGCGCCGTGCCGCCGCCCTCCACGCGGCTGCAGCCGCGCCGGTCGAGCACGCGCGCGCGCTCCTCGGGCGGGAAGTCGCGCACGGTGCGCAGGATGCGGCGCAGGATGCCCACGCGGTTGTAGCGCACGGCCAGCGCCACGTGCGGCCCGGGCGCGGCGCAGCAGCGGAAGCCGGCGCTGGGCGGCGCGAGCGCGCGCCGCGGGAACGTGGCCAGCAGGTAGTGCGCGTACGCCTGGTGGTCGTGCACGAGCGCGTAGAGCAGCGCCTCGGAGGGCGAGTAGGCGGCGGCGCGGCCGCGCTCGTCCCAGTGGAAGGCCTCGCTGGCGCGCATGTCCTCGAGCAGCCACACCGGCAGCAGGTCGCGCACGGCCTGGTAGAAGGCGAACGACGACTTGCGACACTGCTTCTGCGCCCGAGAGCGCGCCGCGCCCGCGCCCTCGGGCCCGCCGTCGGCGCCGCCCCCGGGCCGCCGCGCGTCCCACGGCATGCTGGTGGCGGACGGCCGCCTCCCGGCCTCACGACATGGACCCGGCGGCGGCTGACCACCTGCACCTGCGGGGAGCGGATCGCGGTGAGGCTCCAAAGCTCCAGGTTGCCTGCTGCCTAGGAGCGGCCCTTCTCTGCTAGGTCATGACCCACCTCCCACATCCTTGATTTAGCTGCACCTGATCTCCCTCCCTTAAAGTGTCTTGTCGTCTGGCACCTTTGCTAGAGATGCCCTTCCCTTCCCCCTACCCACAGAGCCCCACTCGCCAGGACCACGCTGAAAACCGACCTCCCCGCCTCCTCCAGCCCAGGGACCTGCCGACCGGACTGACTAGGCTGACCAAGTGCATCCAACCCCGAACAGAAAAGACCGGGGGGGGGGGGCAGGGAAGTTGTGGTCCACATCTCCAGCTGAGCCAAGCTCCACCTGACCGTGACCCTATCCTCTGACCCCTGACCACAGATGGGAGCCCCTAGGGCCTCCCTCCGTCCCAGAGAGTGACAGAGTTCTAGACCCAGACCTACCTGGTTCCTGCACTCTGCTCACAGGACGTTGAGTGTATCACTTTCCTCCTCTGAGCCTCAACCTCTTCATCTGTAAGAAAGGGGGTAGGAGAGGTGGAAGCTGTGAGCCCAGCTGGGTGAGTTGGGGTGGAGCCTTCCACCCAAACATGATGTTTACTGGATATCTTCAACCCTAGCAGCTGGGAGGAGGCACGGTGACATCAACCTAGAAACGGGTGTGCACAACGCTTTACAGCAAATCCCCTCCAGGTCTGCTACTTCTCTTGATCTTCCCAACTACTAGAAGCAGATGCTGTCATCCCATTTTCCAGCAAGGTCCAAGGTCAGTTGGCAAGTCATGGTACAGCCAAGCCTAGAACCAAGATTTCCGGCCTGCCATTTTGGGCTCACCCCAGAAATGGGGGGGGGCCCACAACCCAAAGGGACCCCAGCTTGAGTCCTGCCTGACCTTGCCCTCTGAGCCCCCGGCCCCAACCTGAGCTCTGGTCTCTGACCCCTGACCCTGCTCCAAGCTCCTCACTGCTTTCTCTCAAGGGTAAGCTGTGGGTCACAAGGGACCTGGGTCGGCGGACAGGCCGTGTCCAAACACACTGGGTAACTAAGTTACAGAGACGAGCACTGTGGGGGGTGGGCTGCAGCCACAGTGCTCTTTGGGGGGGCACCGTGCCCGAAACACCACCCCTCCAAGCCTGGGACTCTGCGCCCCAGGTGTGTGTACCCTGTGTGGATACCCGTGGGGCTCCAGGCGGGTTACGTAAAGTTGGGCCGCCCAACGTCACTGGGCAGCGAGTCACAGCCGCGGCTCCGTGAATGGGGGGGTTGGGCCACCGAGGGCAGGGCTTTGCGCCCGGGGCCGCCCGCCAGGCGCTCCTCCCCGTCCCCTCCCGGCGGCCGCGGTCGCGGGGGTCCAGGCCAGGGTGTTTGCCGACCGGTGGCCAGCGCAGCGAGGGCTGCACCTGCGTGTGCATATGCCCAGGACCCCCAGGGGGCGGCGGCCAGGGGAGAGCGCCCCGGGCTGGGGTTGCGCGCCGAGAATAGGGGGGACTCACCGTGGGGGGCGGCGGGCCCTTGGGCCTGACGTCCCAGTCCCCGTCCCCGCTGGGGGCCGAAGCGCGCGCTGTTACCCCGCGGGCAGGCGCGCAGGCAAAGGTCCCGAGACGGGCGGGCGGGAGGAAGCCGCCGCCGCCCGCGCCCGCCGCAGCCGCGGTCTGAGCCGCCGCGGCCCGATCGCTGGGCGGCGGCGCCGGCGGCGGGCGGGCGGCGGGCGGCGCAGTGCGGTCGCGGCCCGGTAGGACCGCGGGACCGTCCGCCGCCGCCATTGGCCCGCACTACCGGCCCCCGCCGCCTCCCATTGGTCGCTACGCTGCACCATTGTTACGTCACCAGACTGTGGGCGGGGCGCCCGGCCAGACCCGCGGAAAAGTTGGGAGAAACTTGAGGGAGCGCTGGGGGGGCGGGGCTGGCACGGCCGGCGCGGGGCGGGGCCCCCGGAAACCCGAGCTGCGGGCCAGGAGAGGCCCCCGGCGGCCCGGGACGTGGGGGACGATTGGCCCACGCGCAGTGCGAGTCCGGGCGCTCGTGGGCGCCCCGGCTCCACAGAGCGTGACTTCCCTCGTCACCCCCGGAGTCCTATTTCCACCTCCCCTTTGCACTAACCGTCCCTGACCTTGAGGGGACTGTTTTCCCGTCAGTCCCTGGAGGGGTCAAGGGGCAGGAGCTCTGACCCCTAAGGGCCCCGACTGCGTGTGCCAGGCCGGGGTCCGGGCGTCGGGAGCCCCTGCTCTAGGCTGACGCTCCCAGGGGACGGACGAATGGACGCAGGCAGCTGTTAATGAGCGCGGACTCTGCCAATCTCCGTGCTAAACAGACTTGATTTCACTTCATTTTCACAACCGGCGGCGGTGCAAATTACGACCCCCAATTCACAGGCCAGGAAATTGAGGCTGGCAGGGAGGTGGCCTCCCACGTGACGAGCAGCCAGAAGGAAAACCAGGTGCTTCCCCTACTTTTTCTTCAGATATTGTGGTGGATTGGGCCCCAGCCGCCCCAGCCTCTCCACAAAGGGTCCTAGGTTTGGGGTGCCACACATGCGGGCACCCAAGGTCATGCTGAGACCACACCAGATGCCCCCACCTGAAGCACTGCCCCACCTGGGGGGGGGGTGAACTCACAGGCCCGCAGTGAAGCTCATGGGGTCCATGGTGACCACCAGATTTAGAGAAACTAGGTCATTGGCCAGGGAATCTGGGATCCACCTGCCTCGCCTCGGCTTTCCCCTGCTCCTCTGTCTAGGCCCTCAGTTTCCCTGCATCTTCTCCTAGCTTTCCCATTCTGGCCGTCTCCGAGTATGACGGGGGGAGAAGGGCAAAGTGAACGGAGATCCTGGGGTTGATCCTAGGGAAGCGGGAGCCGAGGTGAACTAACTACCTGTGGCTCAGAGCTCAGGCCCCTTGCTTCCTCATCCTCATTCTTTTCCAGGGCTGGAGTTGAGACCTCATGCCATCTCTGTGACTACGAGGGGAATGAGGTTGTACGGGCATGGCCGCGGGTGCCAGCTGGCCTCAGGGCAGGTCTGTCTCCACCTCTCGATGCCCTCCGTGCCTCTCCCTTCAATGTATCTTCCTCACTGAGGTTCCTAAAGGGCTCTTTCTAAAAGTCACGTCTGATCCCATATCTCCACCACTTAGAAGCTTCCTGTGCAAATGGATTCGCCAGAAAGACCAGGTGGGGCAGATCAAAGGCATTCCCAGCTGAGGAACAGTTGGAGCAAAGGTCTGGGGGTGGCTGAAGGAGGCTGGAGATGTCAGTGCGGAGGGGCCTAGCTACGTGTGGCCTTAAATGCTGGGGCAAGGAGCTTGGGTTTGTCCTGAGGATCTGGAAATGAAGGTGGAAAGGGTTTGGAAGTCAGTTGGTTAGTGAATTATTTCAGGCATATAAAGGTAATCATAACGAATGCCTGGGAACCAGGGTCCAGTTTAAGAAATAACAGGTGGATAAATCTGAAGGCCCGTGTGCCTGTCCGGCCTCCCACCCAGCCCTGGGTCTTTCCCACGGTGGTGGCTGACATTGTAATGCTGTCCCTTGTGGCACCAGTCAGCCCTCACTGCCTGTGCCTCACTCTTCTCCCAAGGTTACTTTTAGACTCCGGAGCACACGCTGCTCTGGGTCACTGAGGCATCTTCTGCGGGTGGGAGCTGTCCTCCATGCCTGGCGTGCGTGTGGTCTCACAGCTGCTGGCTATGAACATCCTGCCTGTGCCTACTTGAGGACCATGCTGGGGCCTGGACGCGGGGATAGGGCGTGCCCCTCCACACCAGCCTTTTAGTGCCAGGCGCTCTGCTGCCCTGGGACAGTGTGACAGTGTGAACAGGGGCAGCTTCCCTCAGGAAGGGGGGTTGAGGGCGGCTGGGGCAGAGGGGAGTGAACGAAAGACTGAGGCCTGGGGTGGGGGCGGCCCTGCCGAGTCCTGGATGCCCTCACGGGCAGGGACTGCTCACCAGCACAGCCGTCTTGGTATGGGGTTTGACTTTTGACACTGTCATGTTCCCTCTGGAACCCAACCCAAGACCCACTCCCCTCTGTCCTGGGAGAACTTGTCCCACAGGGCAGGCATCTGGGTGTGCCCAGGTAGAGGGCCTTGGAGTGCAGTTCAGGGTGTGTGCTACAGGTAGAGGGAGGAGGGTAGGGAGCTTCCTGGGGGAGGAGGCTGGTGCCAAACCCGCTGACTTCTAATCAGCTACTCACTGGCTGTGGGACTCAGGCCGAGTAACTCTGCCTGTCAGCTCCAGTCTCTTATCTGTGAAATGAGTCAGGTGGATTTTCAGATCTCAAAAGGAAGGTGTTCCAAGGGGCAGGATTGGGCAAGGGTCAGGACCTTGGGAAAGCAGGGGGAAGTATGGGGAGCAGCCAGGACCAAGAAAGGTGATGGGGACTTCTTCCCCCTGCCACCACCTGCCCTGGGTCCCCACCTGCACCTCGCCTAGCCGTGCTGGGCCAAAGCCCACCTGGTGTCCCGGGGCCTGTTCCATGGGTGCTTGCTCCTCCCCCTCCAGCTTGGCTTGTCCCCACCTGCCCTGGGGCTCAAGGTCTCCACCTCATCCAACCAGTCTTTCAAGGCTCAACTTGAGATGCCAATACCGACCAAAGACAGGATAAAACTAAGTGAAGACAAGTGATACCAAGGGAACCAGAGTTCAACATACATAGCAAAGGAGTGACATTCAGATCTCCTGCAACCCAGTGAGAAAGGTTAACCCAGGAGGAAAATGGGCAAGCAGCATGAATAGGTAATTCACACGCTGGCCCATGAACACATGAAGATGTTCAGTTTTGTAAGAACTCAGCAAACGCACAACCTCTTGTGTTCCTTCCCTACTGGCCAAAACTGAGGTGGCCGGTAACAGCCTATATTGTCAGGGTTAAGAACCAAGTCTTCACTTTCATGCAGAGGTGGGGAGGACACCTCCCAAGGCTCCACCCATTTTTTGGTTAGGAATCTTATCCCAGATAAGTACTTGCCTGCACGCCAACAAGTTTCATATACAATCATCACTTCTGTGGTTTTTGTTCACTTGCTTCCTTCTTTAACGTCTTATAAAAGAATTTAGCCTTAATTTTGTATTTCATGTCTATTTCAGAATTAAATATTTGAAGAGAATACAGGTGACTACCAAGTATCAAGGAGGTAGGGTGCCTGCTCCATTTTTAGCACCGAAAACCTGGAAGACACCTAAGTGACCGTCCAAAGGGGAATGGCTAAAGAATCATGACGTACCCTTCCCAGCTCTGGTTTCTGCCACAGGGCCGCTGGTCCCTGCCCCTCTACTGGGCCTATGGAAAGGACTGTGTGAGCCTGGGACCTAGGGACCAGCTCCCTCACATGCCCCCAGACTTCACCCTCCCCCTGTCCACCCCCCGGGAGACAGCTTCCATGGCATCCCTGGGTCCTTGTAGGATCTCTGGATCTGACCATGCTGGATTTCGAGCTTTCACATTAAATAAACTGGTAAAGTCTGTTTTTGGCCCAAGCCAGTTGGAGGCAGGACCCAGCTCTTGAGAAAGTCCTGACTCTCTATGTGCCTGGGACAGTGCCTGTCATCCCAGCATAATTATAACCGTTTCGCCTTCTCTCTCAACAGGTCCTGGTTTCGAAGGTTAATCACGCGGCGGCCATATGACTAATGCACATGGCAGTAGCATGCAGCCACAGGCGAGAGCAGAAAGGCTGAGCTCCTCATTCGTCAAGTGGCGAGACTCTGCCCCAGAGGCCATCCTGAGGGGAATGGAGCTCTCAAAGGACACCGCTCTGCCTGGCACAGAGCTAGCCTCCAAAAACGGGCTGTTAGGATTCCTTTGTAAATAGTTCAACACAAAAATGTTAAAAGAAAAAGCATACATTTTGTTTGGGAAATGCTAGAAGCCACACATTGATTTATTGCCAGCAGTGCCTCTTGGGGAGAGAATCAGCAAGGAGAAAGGGACCCTTTCAGTTCTTATTCTCTGTACCTTCTTTGTGGTTTGAGTGTTTCACAAGGGGCTCATATTCAGATATCATCTGTGTCATTAAGGTAAGTTTTTATTTATTTACTTATTTATTTTATTTCTTTGAATAATCTCTAACCCCAACAAGGGGCTTGAACTTGCAACCCTGAGGTCAAGAGTCACATGCTCTGCGGGGCGCCTGGGTGGCTTAGTCGGTTAAGCGTCCGACTTTCGCTTGGGTCATGATCTCACGGTTCGTGGGTTCAGGCCCCGCGTCGGGCTCTGTGCTGACTGCCAGCTCAGAGCCTGGAGCCTGTTTCAGTCTGTGACTCCCTCTCCCTCTGACCCTCCCCTGCTTACGCTGTCTCTCTCTCTCTCCTAGAAATAAATAAAACATTAAAAAAAAAAAAATTAAAAAAAAAAAAAAGAGTAACATGCTCTACTGGCTGGGCTAGCCAGGCACCCAAGTTTTCAAAGAGGCAGTATCCACTGGCAAACTGCTGTCTCATGGCCATTATCTCATTGACCTTCCCAGCAAGATAGGTTGGATCGTCAGCCCACTTTACGGGTGGGGAAACTGAGGCACAAAGGGACAGAGCTTTGCCCACAGAGATGGAACCTATAAGCTTTGTCTTGTCCCAAAAAGGGAAGGCTTTGGTTTCATGAGTTCCAGGCTGATGAAGGCTGCAGCCCCTCCTCCTGGACGTCTCTCCCACTCACAGAATGGGAGGCCTCAGATGCGGGGTGGCGTGGTGGGTCAGGGCCCCTTCCTACCCAGCCAGGGGGGTAGGACAGGGAGCCAGCCCTTCTAAGCAGCTTCTCTCATCCATTTATCCAAGGAACAGGTCCTTAGAGCCTGTCCTGGGGACCGGAGGTGAGTGGGCAGGGAAGGCTTCCGGGAGTCACCTGCACCCTCTTGCATCATCATTCAAGTCCCAAGGGCAAGGTGTGCACTCTGACCCCATCTGTCCGCACTGCTCCAGCTGGGCTCCCAGGTCAAGGCGGCCTGCCCTGCCCCAGGCTCCAGTCCAAGCCCCAGCCTCCGGCAGCCTGAGAAGGACCCTGCTGTCAAAGCCACGCCAGCCATCAGCTGTGAGCTCTTCCGCTCAGAGCCCCTCCTCAGCTTAAAGATGCTGCCTTCACTAGTCCTGGCTCGAGGCCAGACCCCCTCACATTCCACCAGGAACCTTGGCCTTCAGCACTTAGGTCCCCGGGGGTCCTTGCTCATGCTGTTCCCTCTGGCCTGGATGGCCAGTCCCCAGAAGTCTTCGTGGACCCATTTCAGGTGTCACCTGACTAGTGGAGCCCCCCCCCCCAGCCGCTGTGGGCCCCCACCACACTGTCCTGCACTTCTGCGAGCTTCTCCATTGGACCACAGGGAGGGCCCCGCCTACCCCTGCGGGAGGGCTGTGGGTGCCCCATAAATGCTGATGACTAAGTGGAGAAGGAGTTAGGTGGGTGGGTGGGTGGGTGGGGCCGCGTTGGGGGGAGCAGGCAGGGGTGGGAGCCCAGCAGGCCTGGTTGCCTGTGGGGAGTGATGCCGGAGGCGCCCTGGAGGGTTGGGAGCAGGAAGCACATGATTCATCGGCTGCACCAGAGTCCGGGCCGCCAGGAAGCCCTGAGCACAAGGGGGAGGCTCGGCAGAGGCCCAGCCCGAGTGCAGACTGTGGGACACAGACAGGGCTCCCCAGGTCGGGGCCTGCTCCAGCTGCCCTGGGGACAGCGACAGTGGCAGGAGGGGAACTTGGCAGGCACAGGAAGCAGTGGGGAGGGCAGAAGGCCAGGCCCGTCCCTCCCCGACCAGTGCAAGGGCACAGTGCAAGCTGCCAGGCTGTGTGACCTTGAGAAGAGTCAGTGCCTCCTAAGGGCCAAGAAGTATCTGGCTAAGCCGCCTGGCCTGGCCTGGCCTGGGAAGCGCAGCAAGCTGAACACCCAGGGCCATGGGGACAAGCACAGCCAAGGTGGACTGGCCCAGGACAGCCCCCCACTGACGGGGCCTCCCGCCTTATTTTCTATTGCTCCCTCGTGGGTGGAGTTCCCGCTTGCGGGGTGCCTGGTTGGCTCAGTGAGTTAAGCGTCTGACTCTTGGTTTGGCTCATGGTTTCAGCTCAGGTCATGATATCATGGCTGGTGGGATCCAGCCCCTCATGGGGCTTTGTCCTGGGGGTGTGGAGCCAGCTTGGGATTCTGGGATTTTCTTTCCCCTCCGTCCCCATAGAACATTTAAAAAGGTGGGGTGTTTAGTCAGTTAAGCATCTGACTTTGGGTCAAGTCATGCTCTCACCGTCTATGGGTTTGAGCCCAGCATGGGGCTCTGTGCTGACAGCACAGATTTTGGGTTCTGTGTCTCCCTCTCTCTCTGCCCCTGCCCTGCTCACGTTGTCTGTCTTGGTCTCAAAAATCAACATTAATTAATAATAATTTTTTAAATTTTTTTTTATTTATTATTTCTAGGAGAGAGAGAGACAGCGTGAGCAGGGGAGGGTCAGAGAGAGAGGGAGTCACAGACTGAAACAGGCTCCAGGCTCTGAGCTGGCAGTCAGCACAGAGCCCGACGCGGGGCTCGAACCCACGAACGTGAGATCATGACCTAAGCGAAAGTCGGACGCTTAACCGACTAAGCCACCCAGGCGCCCCAATAATAATTTTAAAAGTTGTGGCCTGCAGTGAAGTGAGGGAGAAGGGGACACTGAGGCCCTGGCGCCAGGCCTGGCCCAGGTCACACAGCTCAGTTTTAATAACAGCGGCCTCTGTGTGCCAGCCCAGCATGGGAACACTACCCCACCTTCCCAGGACCCCCCCAGCTGTGGGGACCTGGATCCCTGCGTCCAAAGAAACCTTTTCCCTCAGGTGACTCTAAAGGGAAACAAGTTCGGAGAAGCGGAGCCACTGGGCAAGCGGCCAAAGCAGGTGTATGGAGGGAGGGGCCGTTGACCTGTTTTGCTGCACCCATCGATGCAGAGCTTGGAAAGGGGAGGCCTCTTACCGGATCCCGCCCCGCGGCCCTGGGGAGGGGTCCAGGCACTGGCCGGAGTCAGAGTGGGCTCCGCCTCAGTTTCCCTGTCTTCGCAGGGGACCTGCGCAGGCAGGGGTGCGGTCGGGCTCTACTGGCGCGCCCAGCGCGGACCGACACCGTCCCCTGGCGGCCGCGCGCGTCTTCGCAGCCTGAAGCCGGTCCAGGCTCAGCCACGGTGGGGGCCAGGTCGCCCCAGGTCGCCCGGGGGCAAGGACATCTGAGCGCCCTTTCCCCGCGGCGGGGTCCCGCGGGCTTGAGTCTCCACCCCCGACACCTCACCCCGCTCGCCACTCGCTCTGTGGCCTCCGCAAGCCTCTCTCCACTTTGGGCCTTAGTCTTCGCCGTAAAATAGGCACGATGCTGCCCGCGGCGCTCAGCTGCCCCTCGGGCGCCCCGCTGCCCCTCGGGCGCCCCGCTTGCCCGCCCCTCCCCCTCCTCGTGGGCGGGGCTCGGGCCTGCGCCGTCCGGACCCGCCAATCGGAAGTCCCGGGGCGTGGAGGGCGCGGGGGATCGTCCGGCGAGAAGGGGTGAGAGGCCGGGGGGAGGAGGGGTATTGGACAGGGTCGGGTTTCCTCTCCCCGCGCCTCCCGCCCGGGAGCCCTCGGACCCCGCGGGAGGCGGCGTGGAGAGGGCGGCTCTCCCCGAGCGGAAGAGGCCGGGCGGCGCTGCGGTTTCCGGGTCTGGGGCGTGGGGACGGTCGCTGCCCCCTGCCCCCTGTCCCCGCCGGGAGACAGCCTCGAGGCCCCCAGCCCGGCTTCTGCGCTCCCGCGGCCCGCAGGCACACCTCACCTGCCCCGCGGGGAACACACGTTCGCCCTGGCTGTTCCCTCCACCAGGAGTGCCGTCCACCAAGCCAGCGGCCCGACGGCGCCCCCCCAGGGGCTTTACCGACCCCCGCCCCTGGCCCCTTTCCTCGCCCTCCCCAGGTGCACTTTTATGAGTCTCCTGAGCGCCAGACCCGCCCAGGGTTCTTCATACCGGGCCCCTGTGATAGATGCACACACCGAGACCAGAGAGGTCTGAGTCGCTGGCCACAGGGCTCACAGCCGGGAAGTGGCTGGCCGGGAACCCAGCCATCCGCTGCTGGCCCACCCCGCATGTCACTGTGCCCCAAGCCTGTCCTCTGTTCCCACTGCGGGGACCCCCCTCCCTCCCAAGGACACGACTGGAGGGAGCTTACTGAGCATCTAGTGCTGTCTGAACGGGGAGATCAGGGATCCCCAGGGAGCCTTCCCTTACTCTGCCACCCCTTGCCCATTGGGGAGCTGCGGTCCTTGAGGGTGGGGAGGGCCTTGCCAAGTGTCACTAAAGCCTTAGGCTTTTCTTGATGCCCATTATGGAGGGAACACAGGACTGGACTGCCTAGGAGACAGGTCGGTAATGTTTGGGAGGGTCTTCTCTCCCCAAAGAGGGAGGTGATTGGGAGAAGTGTCTGACTCGGAGAGCAATGGACTGAGGGTGGAGAAGGAGAGTGAGCTGCAGTTATCCCTGAGAGACAAAGGAGGCTTAACACAGGTGCATCAGCTATCTACTGCTGTGTAACAAACAATCCCACAACAGTGGCTTGAAACAGCAACTATTTCTTATTTCTCACATAAGAAATATGGACTGACTGGATGGCTCTTTTGCTTTATGTGCCATCAGCTGAGTCATTTATACAGCTACAGTTATACAGTTAGCTGGAGGCTCGACTTTGGCAAAACATTTAAGGTGGCCTCACCTACACGGCTGCAGCTGATGTGAGCTGTCAGCTCGGATCTCAGCCTGCTGCCAGCATGGGCTGTCATCCCAGATTCTTTGGCTCTCCTCTGCTTGGTCTTTTCACGTGGCTAACATGGCCTTCCTCACGGCATGGCAACTAGGTTCCGCAGAGAACAGCCCCAACATGCAAGAGCTTAGCCAACATCTACTTCCACCACAGTTGCTAACATTTCATTGGCCAGAACAAGTGACATGGCCAAGCCCAGAGTTCATGTGGAATGAGACCTTCAAGGGGCCGCCAAAGTCACCAGTGGGAAAGCAATGAAGACAGAGGAGATGGTGAACCTCCAGGGGCCAGAACAAGCAAGGAAGTCTCCTGGAGGAGGAAGGGCTTGACCAAAGCGGGTCAGGAGCTCTGTTCTCCTCCCTGCTTCGGTCCTGGGCCCCATGGAGACTGGAGGAGAGCCAACCACTACGTGAGGAGAGTGGGGAAATTTCCTGATTGGAGAAAGTGGCCTGTGGACGATGAAAGCAGGGTGATGGCATAGTGTGATGGAACATGGTGTGTGTGTGGGGGGGTGCTTTGATAAGGTGGCCCGGGAGGACCTCCCGAGAAGGTGACGTTTAGGCCGAGCTCTGATGGGCAGAAGGAGGCAGTCTTGAGGAAGGCAGAGGGAAATGGATTCCAGGCGGAGGGAACAATTGTAGCAAAGGCCCTGCTTTGGGAGTGAGCTTGATACACTTGAGGATTAGAGAGAAGAGCGTGGGGGCAGAGCGGGGGTGCGCAAGGGGCGCAGGGCCAGGTCCCGTTGGGCCTCGTAGTCCTGGACAATACGGTTGGACTTTTCTCCCAAATGCCACGCAGTGCCACGCGAGGAACAATATGACCGAATCCAACATAGATCTGCTGAGTACCTACTGTATGCCAGGCACTGTTCTAGGCGCTTGGGACTCCGCAGTGAACAAAGCAGAGAAATATCCCTGTCCTTGGGGAGTATGGCCTGGTTTAAGAATTAACAAGCAAAGCAAAACTCTACTAAAAGGGGACAAAATGGGGGGTGCCTGAGAGGGAGAGGAAAAAACCAAGGAAGTGATGCTTGGAAGCCAAGGAAGGCCTAGGAAGCTGGGGTTGGGGTGGGGTGGGGTGGGGAGGAAACTAAGGTAAATTCAAGAATTTGGGAGATAATCTCCATGACCTTGGTGGTAGGCAAAGAGGTCTTAAATATTTTTCCTATAAAAGAAAAAATTGATAAATCAGACTTTATAAAAATTAAAAACATTTGCACTTCAAAAGATACCATTGATGATTCCACAAACTGAGTAGAACGGTTATAAATCACATAACTTCACAGGATGTATCAAGAATTCTTGGAACTTGTGGGGATGAGCACTAGGTGTTATATGGAAACCAACTTGACAATAAACTATTTAAGAAAAAAAAAAGAATTCTTGGAACTCAAGAAGACACATGACCCATTTTTTAAAGATGTTGATTGTTTACATGTTTATTTAGAGAGACAGAGACAGAGAGAAGGAGAGGAGCAGAGAGAGAGGGAGAGAGAGAGAATCCTAAGCAGGTTCCGTGCTGTCAGTGCAGACCCCAACTCGGGGCTCAAACTCACAAACTGTGAGGTCATGACCTGGCCATAATCAGGAGTTGAATGCTTAACCAACTGAGCCATCCAGGCATCCCAATATTTTATTTTTAAGTAATTTCTACACCCAACGTGGGGCTCGAATTTACGACGCAGAGGTCAAGAATCGCACTCTGTACTGAGCTAACCAGACTCCTCCATGACCCAATTTTTCTTTATTAAAAAAAAAACTTTTTAGGGGCGCCTGGGTGGCTTAGTCGGTTGAGCGTCCGACTTTCGCTTAGGTCATGATCTCGCGGTTCGTGGGTTCGAGCCCCGCGTCGGGCTCTGTGCTGACTGCCAGCTCAGAGCCTGGAGCCTGCTTCAGTCTGTGACTCCCTCTCTCTCTGACCCTCCGCTGCTCACGCTGTTTCTCTCTCTCCTAGAAATAAATAAAAATAAAAAAAAAAAAAAAACTTTTTAAAATGTTTTATTTATTTCTGAGAGAGAGAGAGAGAGACAGCATGAACGGGGGGGGGGGGTCAGAGAGAGAGGGAGACACAGAATCCGAAACAGTCTCCAGGCTCTGAGCTAGTTGTCAGCATGGAGCCCGATGCGGGGCTCAAACCCACGAAAAGTGAGATCATGCCCTGAGCCGAAGTTGGACACTTAAACCGACTGAGCCACCCAGGGACCCCCATGACCCAATTTTTAAAAAGGGAAAAGACGTGGGGTGCCTGGGTGGCTCAGTCGGTTAAGGGTCTCACTTCGGCTTAGGTCATGATCTCATGGTTCATGGGTTCGAGCCCTGCGTCTGGCTCTGTGCTGACGGCTCAGAGCCTAGAGCCTGCTTCGGATTCTGTGTCTCCCTCTCTCTCTGCCACTCCCTTGCTTGCTCTCTGTCTCTCTCAAAGTAAAATAAAGACATTAAAAAAAATTTTTTTAAAGGGAAAAGATTTGAAAAGACAGGTCACCAAGGAAGATATACAGATGACCAACAGGCACATGAGAAGAGGTTCCAGTCATCAGGAAATGCAAGTTAAAGCCACAATGAAACACCACTACACACGTATTAGCGAGTTCACCAACAAAAGACTGAGCACACCAAGTTGTGGACAGGGATGTGGGGGACTGGACTGCTCGCACACTGCACGTGGGACTGTGAATGGCATGGCCGCTCTGGGAAGCAGCTTGGCAGCTTCTGACACTTACGGTGTGACAGAGACATTCTACTGCTCCGTATGTGCCCGAGAGAAGTGAAAACAGGCCCCCACATAGGGCTGTGCACTCACAGCGACGTTACTCTTAAGAGCAAAAAAATGGAAACACATGTTCACGTTGTATACATCAATGAATTGTGGCCCATCCACACAATGGAAAATTAATCAGCAATAAAAAGGAGCAAACGACTGATCCATGCCACATGGAGAAACCTCAGAAACACGATGGGAAGGAATAGAAACCAAAGGCACCTACAATCCACAATAATTCATCTTGTACCGAAAATTGTGTGAACAGGGTGTTCGTATGACATTAAAATAAAGTTTTTTAAGAAGAAACCAGGGCGCCTGAGTGGCTCAGTCTGTTGGGCGTCTGACTTCGGCCCAGGTCATGATCTCA